CCCCAAAACCCCAAAACCCCAAAACCCCAAAACCCCAAAACCCCAAGATTTAATTATTTATCGAAAATTAGGAAACTATTAAATAAAATGGAGAGTACGGAAGACGAGTCGAAGATAGAAGACACTATTCAGCCCTTTCTTAAAGTCAAGTAAGGCTTCTCAAATTTACAAAGATTCTATTTTCCTCTTCCTCTGCTTCTTGATGCTTGGATTAAGGAAATTTGACTTCTGGTTTAGGAAAATGCTTCCTAAGAAGACAATATTAATCAACACAAAGAACTCAGGCTCAGCTGGAGTTCTCCTAGAAGAAGTTATAGCAAGCAATGACTGGAAGGTAAACATCAGCTCTTATCTCTAGGAGACCAGATCTGACTGCAAAGGCAATATAATTTGGGCAGGAAATGTACGTTATGAGACTGGTGAGGCTCCATTAGTTTATTTATAGTGCTCCCAATCTTGACAACTAAGAAAAAGGTGGCTTACTCCAAGATACCAGAATTGAAGGTAGGAGTTAGCGGTGACCTCTAGGTGATCGCACATAAGTCAGACCTAGCTATTGTAATGAATTACATGCAACAGTTCTACCCTGATGAGTTTAATTTTGTCCCTAGAACTTTTGTGTGCCCAAGAGATGAAGAAACCGTAAGAAAGCTGATGAGAAAGGAGAAGAACAAAACTTGGATTTGTAAACCATCTAAAGGATCTCAAGGAAATGGCCTTCAATTGATTAATAATATCTGGGAAATATCAGATTCGTTATAAAAGAGGAATTTATCATCCAGGACTATATAGAGAAGCCTCTTCTTGTTGAAAAGAAAAAGTTTGATCTAAGATTGTACATAGTTCTGTATGGAGTAGAGCCTATGCATGCCTATCTCTGTGAAGAAGGCATGACAAGATTCTGAACAGTCGATTATAAGCCACCTAATAAGGCAAATAGGTTCAACGAATTCATGCACTTGAGCAACTACTCTATAAACAAACATAGCGATCAATTCATTAGAGATGATGAAGGTGAGTCTTCAACGAAAAGGAAGTTATCCAGCATCTTCAACAGTATCGAAAGATCCTTCCCTGAAGGAGAAGAAATTGTAGAAAGAATCAAGAACAATATCAAGGAGGTATGAAGAAAAACTGTTATAGCTATTCATCCAGACATTGGTACGTTAAAGGTTAAATAATCACGTTTAGTGCATAATCTTGAAGTGGAGTTTAAATCAGTTGAAAATATAAAATCAGCACTTTTCCAAGTTATCGGAGTTGATATTATGATAGATAGCAAATACAATGCCTGGCTTTTGGAGATAAATAATAGCCCAAGTCTCAACGTTATGTACGAGCCAGATTTTATGAACCCTGAAGAAAAGCAAATCAGCCAGATTGATATGGATATTAAGAAACCAATGATTTCTGATGCTTTTCAGTTAGCCCAGATGTTTGCAAAGAACAGGAATGCTCTTAATGATATTGAAGAACATAATAGTTTGTTTAAAATATATTCTGACTCAGTGTTCTTCCCTAAAACTGATTACCATGTGCAGCATAACTGAAAGATTATCTTTAATGCCTTAACAGGTCTGAAGGGAAGATCCTCCTTAACATCAGGGCAGTTTGGAAAGTTATATCTCCTTTCTGAGTATATTAAAGAAAGTGATATACAAAAGACAGACTTCACTCTAGTATTCTCATCTCTCGTTGGAAGGTTCAAGAGCGTAATGACCCTTACTGATTTCAAAAATGGTATGTTTAAACTCTTCTCAAAGTATAAGAGAGCACCGAGAGGAAGGGGCTCTGAAGAAAGCCTTGAAAGCCTGTTTCCAGAATTCCTGCAGAAAATCGTTGAAGACCTTGACCTTGATTAAATTTCAATTTTATTTCATTTCACCGGGGTTTTGGGGTTTTGGGGTTTTGGGGTTTTGGGG